GTGAAAATGATATGAATGAAAGTGACATGAATGAAAGTGACATGAATGAAAGAGATATGAATGAAAGTGACATGAATGAAAGTGACATGAATGAAAGAGATATGAATGAAAGTATGAATGAAAGTGACATGAATGAAAGAGATATGAATGAAAGACATGAATGAAAGTGACATGAATGAAAATAGATATGAATGAAAGTGAATGAAAGTGACATGAATGAAAGAGATATGAATGAAAGTGACATGAGTGAAAATGATATGAATGAATGTGACATGAATGAAAGTGACATGAGTGAAAATGATATGAATAAAGAACATGAATGAAAGTGACATGAATGAAAGAGATATGAATGAATGAAAAGTGACATGAATGAAAGTGACATGAATGAAAGAGATATGAATGAAAAGTGACATGAATGAAAGTGACATGAATGAAAGATATGAATGAAAATGACATGAATGAAAGTGACATGAATGAAAGAGATATGAATGAAAGTGATATGAATGAAAGTGACATGAATGAAAGAGATATGAATGAAAGTGATATGAATGAAAGTGACATGAGTGAAAATGATATGAATGAATGTGACATGAATGAAAGTGACATGAGTGAAAATGATATGAATGAAAGTGACATGAATGAAAGTGACATGAATGAAAGAGATATGAATGAAAGAGTTATGAATGAAAGTGACATGAATGAAAGTGACATGAATGAAAGAGATATGAATGAAAGTGACATGAATGAAAGTGACATGAATGAAAGAGATATGAATGAAAGTGACATGAATGAAAGTGACATGAATGAAAGAGATATGAATGAAAGTGACATGAATGAAAGTGACATGAATGAAAGAGATATGAATGAAAGTGACATGAGTGAAAATGATATGAATGAAAGTGACATGAATGAGAATGTTATGAATGAAAGAGATATGAATGAAAGTGACATGAATGAAAGTGATATGAATGAAAGAATATGAGCTAGGTAGAAGCGGAGGATAAGGAGGATAACCAGGACTCTCCTGAGTAGTCTTTAATATCAATATTAACACTATGTGCGCGCCAACCGAAATTGGTGCATTTCATTTTTGATCAAGTGACTGCAATCATTTTCAGTTTTTCAGCACACTTCTCCTTAGTGAAGGTTGTGTCGAAAGTGATGCCTTCTATTTATTTCAAAAGAAACTTCAGACAATGTGATCAAAATAGCAGCCCTGCATGGGGCTAGTTCTCAGCTATTTCATACAAGAATTTACCTAATCGAAGGTTCCAGAGACACTCAATGTCGAGGCTTACTGTTAAATAACAATGATAAATGGTGTGTGATATGTACGAAAGAGGAGGTGGTAAGAAGTGAATATTATGAGGATAAGGGCGATAAATAACGATTAACGCTTAACTTGAAGAGGTCAAAATTATAGCGTAGAGGGTTACTGTTAAAATGGCTAAAAATGGAGCTCATCAGAATATTTGCCATGAAATTAGCGATAAAGTAGCGATATGCTTGCGATATTAAAGTACCAAGAATTCCGTATCAAGGGTTCTCAACCTGAAATGTAAATAATTAATCCAGCTTGTCCAGAACCGGATTATCCCATGCAGTCTATATCGCCTCACGTTTGGTTGTAAAAGCTGGTTATATATATATATATATATATATATATATATATATATATATATATATATATATATATATATATATATATAAAAAACCCTGTTCCTATTTTTTTTCTACGCTTGTACTGAACTTGTGGCTAATTTGGTTTGGAATAAACAGTAAAATAGTGGTAATTCTTAACGAATAATTTTATTGATAAACAAATGATTTATTCTCATTAATTTATAGAACTTGCTGTTTACTTCAAACTATATAAAAAATTATATGGTTGCGTTGACATAAATGCTAATTTAGTTTGAAATAAATAGTAAAATAGTGATATTTCTTAAAGAATATTTTTATTGACAAACAAAAGATAGCTATTCTAGTTCATTTGAAGAATTTGCAATCAGTTTATTTCAACCGATGTAAACGTCGCTAAAATATACCACGAGTAAAAAAAAATATTCAAGAAGGGTGCGGGCAAGTTAGGGAGTGGCTCCGTCTGAGGCGGGGACACCTAATAATTTCATTAGCCTAGAGGTCCCAAAAGGTCATAATCCGGTTCTGATTGGTCGTTAATTATTCGATAACTGGACAAAAAGAAAAATGCAGTAAACGGATCTGGGTCAGTAACGCTTAAGCATAACTATTTAATGATGAAAGAATTTCGTTTCTACGACGGACTGTTTAGAAATTAGAGACCAAATCATAAAGACGCATCCATGTGGAAGTTTTCGAGAAGTATCAATTCTATTTTGGTGAAAGTGTTGTAAAGAGAAAAGGAAACTTTTTGTTGTTCTAACAGACGAGTTGTTCAGTGTGAAAAAATGGCGGAAAAAATTGACAGAATACGAATGGAAATGGATTCTTTGCTTTCAGCAAATTAGCACCAGGATAC